TGATTGTATGACAAGAAATGAAAGTCTAGAGAACTTATTCAGATGTAGCAGTAAGTGTCGTGTAGTTGGCAGTAAGTCTAATTTGCCGATGCTGGAAAAGGGATCAAGAAGATCTATGACAATCTGTTGTTTATTTACGTTAAAATCTTAAGATATTGCTCAGTTGATAGAAAATAATTTAGATCTATCTCTATATTGCTATGGAACTAAATGATGGTGATGCTACTATGGGGAATTCATTTAATATCATGTTTAAATCTCTTTCTGCCAAGCTCTCTTTCAAATCTTCTCAACCTTCTTCTTCTTCTACAAGAACATCAAACTAAAAATCCTTCAAAATCAATCTTCAAGGAGGAAATTCTCCTTTGAAAACATCAACCAGGACTTGGATAACTAGAAAATCCCCAAGATTCCTACAAATGAACTGTACAGACCTGAAGGAAGATTTTTTCGAAATCTAATTACATAATCAGAACGGTGAACGAAGTATCCCTATGGACCCTGAATTCGAAGAATTCAAACTCTTTTCAAACTCATCAATCAATGTTCGCAAACAAAGCTATAATTATTTACATATTGGAAGTGTCCAAGTGGTCATCAAACCCCTAATTGGAGAAGGATTAAATGCATCTGGTCTCCTTTGTCTTGGAGACACAAGTCATAACAAATTCTCATGCTCATTGCTAGGAACTGTTGAAACTAGTTTAAGCAATGGTCCAATCTTCTTCAATTGTTATCTTGATCGTATGGTCAGTCTTTAAGATAGGAATATCTTGGATGCCTTTGTCTTAAACATCAAGATGCATGGTCTAGATATGAAAGCCGGATCTATTCCCGCTACTCTAATCTACAGAATTCAGTACAAGGTAATGAATTCTTGAATCTCTAGGGTTCTTAAACCCCAAAAAATTTGGAGAGACAACTCTGTTTCTCACTAATATGTCTCGTGCAAACATGACTATTCCCAAAACAATCCACTGGACTGACGTAGTTTTTCCAAAAAAGTGGCGTCTAGAGAAGGCAACTCCAGTTCAACCTAGAGTCACTCCCCATTTCAAACAAATCAAGCAGTATCCTTTTGGGGCTGTTGAAATTATTTTTGACAGAAGAAATTCTTCCAGTTCTGCGAGTTCTTCCAGATTTGTCCAAACTCAAGATTTTCGTTCTGAAGATTTCCAATCAGCTCTTTCAAGAAGATCTTTCTCTACAATCTTTGAGCCTAGTAGGTTCAATCTTTATCTTCAAGGACTAGATATACTCATTCTTCCATTCCTAAACCAACTTACCAAAAGGATGAAGAAGACAACAGCAAATCCATTCAATCTCCACCCTATTCCTCTATGAATGAACTTTATAGTGTTATATGAGTTTATAATCGATAAAGAATCCCTTAGGAAATATTTTATTTTGAGGATCAAACTTCTCAAAGAGAAAGATTTTTCCAAAATTATAAAGGAATTAACAGAATACTAATTCAAGAAGAATTTTGTAACTTTCTTAACAAAGCAAAGTTAAACATTCCTTTCTTTGATTAGTTTCAAGCTTATTCTGTCCAACTGGACATTAATTATCCTTTCAAAACTCCACAATATGCAAACGTCACCACTGTTTGGCATCTGAAGGAAGGAGAAATTCTCAAACATGAACTTCCTCCAATTGTTCCTTTTCAACTCCCAAACTCTTGTGACGACAAGCACAGGCCTACCATGGCTTCACCTTTCAAATTTAAAGACGAAATTAAAACAATCTCTTCAAATGATATTAGAAATCTGGTGGAACAATAAAATTATATTAATAAGTATCTTCAATCTTTAGATGAAAAACTTAATAAATATGTTAAAGGTGAATCTTCTTCTTCTGACAAAGTTTTATAAAAACTTTATTCAAACATTTCAAAATGACTGAAAAACTTAAGAAAGATTTTGCAAAATTAAAATCTTCTCCAACAACCAGTCAAACCCAATCTCAAAATGAATTCTTAAAAAAGATTGACGAAAAATTAGTCTCTCTAACAATCGCTAATACACCTCAATCCTCTGAGCAAGAGACTCAACAGTCTCGTCCTCTGACAAGACTATATTCCAAACAAAACTTACCTTCTGTTGTCAACTAAGCTATGCTCATTTGCTGAATTTCACATTAGATTGGTTAAAAAGCCAATAAAACTTGCATAAATATACTTTCTAAAATATATAATTATTTGATTGTTTTCATCTTGAAGACTCACACGAGATCATATTTGGTTTCAAACTTCTTGAAATAATACGTGTACTTTATTTCAATCCAAGTAAAATTACAAAAAATATCAAATCTATATTATATCCTCTTTTTCCTTTTATTAAATCACCTTAGTTTCGCCGCTTAAGTAAATTTAATTCAAAAGAAACGGTTCCTTTACAACTATGCACCGATTAAATATTCTTGTGTCAGGAATTGTATAATTTTGGAACCGTGCACTTTAAACTGATAGGTATACTTTATTGAAGAAAATGCATAATAAATAATTGCAATTTTTATAAAATATAATTTTATGTATAATAAATTACATATATGCAAGAATTAAATATTTTATTTATAGTCAACAAGTGCTTAAAGACAAGGAATAAAAAAATAAAATATTTAACACAAATTATAACATTTAATACAGCCAAAACCCGCTCTTTGATCTAATCTTACCTTTTTACTAAGTAAATTATAATATAGTTTACATTTTGGTTTCTTCATAATCGTATTAGGAAAAAGTGTCTGTTCTTTTAAATGATACAATTTTTGTCATTTCACTCTCAAAAAGAATTGGAACCCATACTTTATTTTTTTATCGACTTTCTCTCCAATGATATATCTCTTTCTCTAACTTAATAACATAATTTATATCTTTTAAAATATCACATACTTTTCCCATCATATTAAGGTCAGTTTATTAAAAAAGAAAGTAACTTGGTTTTGTTTGAGAGTCCCAAGTCCCAACTATACCAATCAGCCTTGTTCACATGTTACCTTAAGGAAATCGCTCTGTCAAGTCTAGCATAGCTAAGGGAAACAGTTTTTTGCAATGATTTCATTTCCAAAATGATTTATTTATTCATTTTTTGCAACAACGGTTTTCACAACAATTAAACAAAAACAAAAACAAAAAGACTAATATAAAAATGGATAGAGAAGTCGAATTTGGCATTTTGAGGGTCAAGACAAGATAAGCATGAATTTTTTTTTTCTTCTAATAACTCCAATTTTTCTAGCTAAAGCACCCTTATACAATAATTGGGCAAAAAAATTGCCTAGTTAAAGTTGTTAGAATAATTTTTTTCAAATTAATGCAGTTAAACACATCATGAAACTTTATTGGACTAGTTTTGTTCTGAATTTAACGGGACTGATGTCATGTCAGCGCCACATAGGAAGTCACATCACCATAAAATTTTGGAAGACCATAACTTTTGACTCGGATATCTAAATCAGGTATTTTATTTTTTATTTCACATAACTTTTCGAGATCTATACAATGACATCTCATTTGGTATATTTTATCTCCCACAAATATAGTTCAAATTTGCAACAATGGTTCCACAATCACAAGAGCATTTAAACTCTGAAGCTCCCGAGTTCTTTCTGAACCAACACCATGAGTTGCAGTACTTGCCATCGATTTCTTGGCCTAGTTTTCCCACGATTAGCCTCTGAACCAATGATTTTTTCAGCAAAAGGATCATTACTTTAAGGCTTTTCATAAGAAGATATGTTGTTATCCGTTGTTGTCTGTGCGCGTTGATGACTAGAAAACCATTGTCATGATTAAAATTTTTTGGGATACAGATACCTACTTATGACAAGTTGAATAAGTTTTACATAATGAGTCATCATTCTCATAGATAAAACATGTCAATCGATGACATGTGCTGCAACTTATAGTGTTGGTTCGGAAAGAACTCGGGAGCTTTTGAATTTAAATACTCTTGTGATTATGGTACTATTGTTGCAAATTAGAACTATGTTTGTGGGAGATAAAATATGTCAAAAGATGTGTCATTGCGTAGATCTCAAAAAGTTATGTGAAATAAATAAAAAATACCTGATTTGGATACCCGAGTCAAAAGTTATGGACTTTGTAAGTTTTATGGTGATGAGACTGCCTACGTGGCGCTGACATGGCATTAGTCCCGCCAGGATCAGTGACGGGACTAGTCCCGTAAGGTTTCATAATGTATTTGACTGTATTAGTTTGAAAAAACTTATCCAATCAGCTTTAACTGTGCAATTCTCTTGCCCAACAAACTTAGAAAGGTGCTTTTGCCTAATTTTTCTCATGTTCTATGAGATACTTTTGTCTCATATACACATAAAAAGTGGACAAGATTAACTTTTTTATTTCTCTTCTCCTTAATGGGTCACATTCTCTTTTTTATATGTTATGCAGAATAAGAAACATAAGGCCTATTTGATTGTGTTCTGGATTTTTGTTTTTCTTAAAATTATTTTATAGAATAGTTAATAAAATAAGTATTTTTATGTTTATTTTGTTTTGAAAATTAAAAATTGGCATGATTTCTAAATTTGATTCTAAAGATTAAAAAATAATTATAACTTTTAAAATTACTTTTACATAACAAACTTTATTAAACATTTTTTTTCTGAAAAAAAAAAAAAAAAAACTGTATCTAAGAACAGAATTCAAATAGACCCACATTCTTCCTTTTTCTTTCTCACTTAAGAGTTAAGACTGAAAAGCAATAAATGGCATATCAATTAATGACCATTATTTCCCCTGATATTAAAGAAAGAGAAAAAAAAAACCTAAATAATTAATAAATTAATGTGACCCCACCCATTTCAGATTTTTATGGTAAGTAGAGTCCAGGCTGCAGTATTTAAGCGTCGTAGTTCACGCAAAACACTCATCTGAAACTGAATCTTAGTTTTCAGTGTCCAATATCAGTTTCTTTTCTGCACTGTCAGAAAACCCACACACAAATACAAAAAACAAAATATCATTATTTTCGCCGATGGAACCGAACTTCACCAAAGTTCCGCCGGAGAATGAGCACATGCAGGCACCGCAACAGAGCGAGCCCCACCATCAAAGCACCAGTACATCTGACGATTCCTTCTGCGTCGACAATAGTTTCGACGAACTGCTCCACTACGACTCCTTCGAGTTTGACATCTCCAGCTTTCCGCCGCCACCTCCGCCATCAGCCACCGAGATGGTCGGGTCATTGGGGGAACCGGCCGATCCCGCGGTGGGGGAAGCCATAAGCTTGTCCGTCAGCGAGATGGGAATGGCCGGGGCCGGCGAGATGTCCGGCGGAGAGAGAGGAGCAGAGCGCCGTCAACGGCGCAGAAAATCCGTCGAAAGGTCGTCCTCGAGGGTGTCGCGTGGGGTTATGTCGTCTTCTTTGGTGAAGAAGGCCATGGCCCCTGAGAAGCTCGAAGAGCTTGTTAGGGTTGATCCCAAGAGAGCGAAAAGGTTGATCTATATCATTTTATTTTATCATAAAAATTTGATTTAATGATATTTATATAAATTGTGCTGACGGTGCTTTCTGAGTTGTTGCAATCGTGTGTTGTAGAATTCTTGCAAATAGGAAATCTGCTGCTATATCAAAGGAGAGAAAAACTCGTTATATAAATGAGTTGGGAAAGGATGTGCAGAGGCTTCAGATTGAAGCAAATACCACTGCCGCAGAATATGCCAGCCTTGAGGTATGTGTTTCATTTCCTATTGCATTTATGCTTTACATAAACATAAATGTGGTAAATTGTGTCTTATAGGTATATATACACACACTAATATATTATTATTATCAGAAAAAGGAATAAACATATTAATATATCTCAAATGATGCAGGGAAAAAACACAGATAAGGCTACTCAGAATAAAGAGCGTATAAGGCGCACAGAGGCTACGTTGCAGGAAGCACGACTTAAAGATGGTATGCATCATCATGCATGGTTGCATATTTGTTAATTTATGCCTAAAGTAGTGGAGTACTTGTGCTAATTAATTTCCCTCATGTCATGTTAAATTGAATAAATAAAAAGTCCAATTGAATTGTATCATGAATCTGCATGTGTCTCGATTTACATTACCACTTTCCTTAATATTTAGAAAGAAAAAAAATTGGTTTATAAATTTATGACGTGAATATTATATATATGATGGATACACTCTTGTGCTTGCAGATCTCGTTAAGGCAATGAAGATAGAATTTGACCGCTTTAAGATAGATTTTGGTATCACTGATGATCATCCCTTTTTTGCTGGGATGTTCTCTCAATTTTCTTCCCAGTTACCTCCGCATATGGTTCCTAATCCTCGATTCCAGAATCAGGTGCTTCAGCAACCACAGTTCAGCATGCCTCCTCCTCCGCCGCCGCCGCCGCCATCTCCACCCCTCTTTGGTGAGCCTTTCGGTGAGGATCGTCCTCCTCCCCTTGGTGAGCCTTTCGATGCTGAGGATTTTGATCCTGACTTCTCGAACTTTCGATGAGGAGAGCTGAACTATCTAGTTCATAATAGCAGCAGTAAATGATTGGTTATAACATGGGGCTTTTGAAGGATGCATGTATATCATTGTGCGGTTCAGTGTCCTTAGTCCTTTATTGTTATTTATGTTTTACAGTTTTAGGGTGTAAAGTGTAAACAGTTTAGCATGAAGATGTACAGAGGGAAGAGTTATTGATAAGATAAATGTAAGCACTTGTTGAGTTAGCAGATTTTGGAATTACTCTGTCGAAGTTTAATACTTCAATTGATTATCTGAAAGAAGTAGAAGCAAAAGGTATCTTCACTGTATGAACTAATTTTGATGATGTGTGTGCCGGCCCATAGCGAAAATTTCTGTTGATTATATTCTTGTAACCTTTGACTAGCATGGGGATTTTTTTTTAAAAAAAAAAGAAGAAGAAAAGAAAGATGGATTGGGGAAGGAAAATATATAGAAAGTTTAAATTTATTTTAATAAATATTGTTACAACAATCCAAAATATTAATTGGGTCCTTTACTAGCACTATAAACAATTGAGTGTACTTCTTTATTGTTGAATCTTGTACAGAATCAAGTAGAAATGTTAAAATAAAACAAAAAGAGAGAGAAATCTTCCAATATTGGAGACAGCAGTAGCATCCCAATTTGGTTAGGTTCATCGCTACCACATTTATAGTGTTTGCAATCACCGCTTCTTTCAAATTTAGCCTTCAAGCCATCTTATTGAAAATATAACTCGATTAGGAGGATGGTTTCAGCTCCTTAAAACCTTGGATCCAAGTCCCAGCTGTAAAGTGATATAAAAAGTCACCACAAACGTGTGTGGATTATTATACGGTTTCACTGTCTCTTTCATGCACGCCGTGGGCAATAGTCACTGTTGGTGTCATGTGCGTGGTGTTGTAACCGTTACGCATTCGTCAGCAACTTTTTGTGCGCAGAGGAAAGTTTCAATACCCTAGCTAGCTCCATTTCCTCAAAGCCTTCCACAATCCACACAGGGGTTGGATGGCACAATGTGACACACAGATTTAAAATAAAAGTACCCATATATAGGTCATTAGAACCCAAGGATTTGGATAACAATCACATTAATGATATGCATTGCTTGTATTAGAGTTGATTCCAAAGGATATAAATTTCCCTTAGCAAGAACTACGTTCAACTTTGATCTCCATGTTTGTTGATTGCCTAAGCCTTTTGCTGTCTAAACATTCGGTTGTATCCTTATATAAGTTCTTGCATGAGTGACTAATAATTGGTGTTTGTTTTCTTTTGATGCATGCATTTCATTTATTCGTATATTCAAGATAAAATAGAACATTTAGATAATATGAAATAAATCTCTAGAAGATTCCAACCCCTCTAAAAACGGGTTCCAAAATAATTAACCAAAAATGGAACGTTTTTGAAGAAATTCACTAACATGCAATGGAGTCCATCATTTCAATATTGATTGCAAAACCATTTAGTCAATTTTTTAAAATCACACACTTATTAATTAGTCAATACATTCCACCCAATGAGAATCAATTATGCACAGTGGCGGAGCCGGGTTCTAATTTGAGACCGGGCCAAAAAATTATATGTGTATTTATTTTTCTTAATTTTAGTTGGTTCATATCATAATATATTTAAATTACATTAAATACATAACACCTGAGCAAGCAGTACTAAGAAGAATTATAATTTTATTAAATATTTTTTAATTTTACTAAAAATAATTTATTTTTTTGATACAATTAGACACATAACCTAATACAACTTACCCAAATCTTTCACCAAAAATATTTTAAGTTTTACACAGGGCCAAATTATAAATTGTAGCCTGGGCTAAATTACAATTTTAATCCGAACCAAATTATAATTAATTATATAATTATATATAATAAGTACAATTTGTTAAAATTTAGCCCGGATCGAGACCACACGCACCTCATACATGCCTCCGCCACTGATTATGCAATATACAAGAACAATTTCCAGCACCAATGTCGTCTGCAAGGCATAGAGGCTTTCTCAGTCCATCTTGGAACCAAATGGATCGTTTTTGAATAAATTCACTAACAAAGGAGTCCAACATTTCAATAGTAACGTGCTGCATCACCACCACATGTGCAATATTTCCATTGCATGCTAAATTCCACTTACGGGCAAAGTCATCATCTAAAGGCCTCTCAAAGACAACCGTACTGCTAAACTCATTCAACATTGTACCAATTCCAGCATCACGAAGTTGATCCACTAAGTAACGTGCATTCATCATGCACTTCTGCACTTCATTCTGGAGTCCTAATAAACCTCTTTTTTTAAGAGCATACCATATGAAGATTGGAGCATGCCCACTTCTGCTACCTGTGATTGTGGCATCCCTAGAAGCGATCACTTCAACATCTCTGAATAGGACATTGGTGTGTTCTAAACGAGTCATTACAACACCACAAGGAATTGGGCATCCCAAAAACTTATGGCCAGAAATGGTTATACTTCCGATAGGCTTCTTGAAGGTAGTCCTGGGAGCCTGTGTTAAGAAGGAGTTGTGTGAATGCTTCAGTTAATAAGTCCGATAATTTTATATGCAGGTTTGCACCCGTATACATTCCTAAACAAAATACAAGAAACATCTGAAAAAGATAAACTAAGACTCACTTGCAGGAAGGGGGTTTTCATGCATGGGTTGATTTGGCTTGGGTTTGGGAGGAAAAAGTTTAAACCAATAAAATTAGATTGGGTTGGTCTTTGATAATTTTTTTAGCCAAATCGGAACAAACATATCCCGTTTAAAATTAGGTTTGTTCGATTTGAGTTGTCGAGTTAAACGCTAAATTGTTATATCCATAGTTAATTACGTGTCTTATATGTTTCTTAGTTTTTCTATCCTCCCTCGCTATATCTTCTTCTCTATCTAGAATTTTGAACTTAATACTAGTGCCAGGTAAAGTAGTGATTTCTATTGTACTAAAAAAAAAGTAGTGATTTCTAAATCTTTCATAATTGAAAACAATAATAAAATAATTCCAAACGTTAATATTACATTTCACTCACATTTAATTATTATTATTTTGGTATATTATTTAATTCATTTTACATGTATACCTTTACGTCTCTATTGATCCCTTCACCGAAATAGCAGGATGACATAGTTGGATAATAAACATAACCATACGTACTTAATAATGGTGGGTACCGGATGAGGGTGTCAAAATGAATGAAAAAGAGGAGGGTCTAATTCTTAATGTTTAAAAAGTAAATTTTGAAAGCTTAGTTTTTTTTTTTTTTTTTTTAATGATTGATAGTCAAATTGGGGGGTTCGAGTAATGAGTTCAGTTTTAATTATTGGGTTCATCCCGTCAATTCGATTTAATGTCAATCGCAGTGGTTAAAAGTAATTATTTGAATTTTAAGATAGAAAGTTTAATCCGTGGAGGATCACTTCTGAGGAGAATTTTGCCTTCACCACACCCTAGTTGAACTGCGAAAACATAATTATATCTTCAACAATTTTTTTTATCAAATCACTTAAATTGAATTAGATCAACTGTGATTTAGTGGTAGATTTTTATTTTAATTCTATGACCCTTGTGATCTTTTTTCGCTATTCTTTCCCTCTATAGCATTTTTCACCATTTATGCAAGGGAAAACATTTTCTAGGAGAAATTTTTTCTCCTACTAGTGATTCATCGCATAAGTGAAGTCCACAAAATAATGGAAAGAATACAAAATTTAAAATGAGACCCATTTATACTATGACTCACTAGTAGAAGAAAAATTTTCTCCTAAAAAATATTTTCCCTTTATGCAAAGTGTACTCTCAAAGTATTACAAAAAAAAAAAAGTGTACTGTCAAAGTAATGCTTTTCATAAACACAAAATTGACATCCATAACTTTTACTTACTTGTTTAAGAAAGGGCAGCATCATTCCGATTAGAGCTCCATCACAATGAATATAGAATCGTTCACGAGGGAAGCCACTTTCCTCAAGTGTTTGTAATACGAGATCAACGTCATCAACAGCTCCTTTCATAGTTGTTCCTAATTTATGTAATAAAAAAGAAAAAAGAAAAAAACTCCTTTAATTTTAGGCAAGTGTCTATATATTTGATCTTTGCACGTGCTAGTGAGGGTGTGAGTGTAATTGTCAAAGATGAGGGGAAGACCTATGTTTAGATTGATGATGGCTGGTTTGTCCTTGTGAGCAAGAAGTAAAGCCTTTAGATGAACACAATCGATCTCACCCGAGACCAAGGTGCCAACCTTCACGCATTGCATTCTATACATTCTTGCTATTTTGAATATTGAATAATGGGAATCCTGTGAGGTATATAGAATCCCATCTGGAAATTTTTCCCTCCTATATATACAATAAACACAAACAAATGGTTATTTATGTTTAGGATACATACTATTTGCAACAATCAAAAGGTTCTAGAAATGAAGTTCAACAAAACTTAATTACCCCAGTAAAATTCCATGAAGATTTCCTTCAGTCCCACCAGTTGTGACGTATCCCCAATACTCACCCTTCTCTATCTCCCACAGGTTAGCAAACCAATCAAGCACGCAAACTTCAAATTCTGTTGAATTTAGACCAAAACTGCTCCCTCTAAAAGGATCCCCAGCATTGTTTAGGTGAAATTGCAACAATGGTACCAATGCATCATAGTCCAAGTCCTGATTAGTGGGGTAGCCTGCTTAGCGGATATATATCATTATAGATGGTCTTGCAACTATATATAGATACATAGGGATAAACGTTCACCATTAAAAAAATAACCATAAAAAGCATACCCAAAAAGTGCAGTTTCTTTTGATTTAGTGTCCCCACGTACTGACTAATTTTTTTTTTATTTTTTATTTTGTAAAAGTGGTGGGTCAAGCCCATAGAATTAAATTGAAAGCTGATGCATGTTAAAGGAAACATGCTCCGTCAGCAAAAACTTACAAAAGTCGCTCCAAAATGGAAAGATACAAGTAGGAGGAGAGTAATATAACTCTAACTCTCCATTCCTACTCTTAAGACCTACCAAAGCTAAACTGTCAGCACACAAGTTAGCCTCTGTAGGAACAAATTCAAAACACGTACTGACTAATTACTTCAGCCAAATTGGGCTGTGTCTCCCCGGTGCACTTGGTGACAGCAAGGCTCATTTGTCCAGTATTCTCTAGAATTTCTCTCTGCTTCTCTTCTTCTCTAGAGGGCTTGGTTTTACTGACCACCCTAGGTAGCCGCTCTGTGGCAGGAACTGCTGGAATAATTAATGACATTGCCACGTTCTTCTCCATTGGATTCACCAATCTTTTTGTATTTATATGCTTTGAGAGTGACACAAAAATAGTGAGAAAGTATTCATAAAGCGATGAATGAACATTAATTGGCATAGAAGAATAGGAAAGTCAAATTGTTTTAATTCTTTTGATTCAAGGAATGAACACTGATATGAGATGAACCAAAGTTCTAGGTAGTTGGTGGTTTCCGCCGTTTATACGGTGGAATGAAATTGAAAATGGTGTGTGGTGGGTTGTAGGGTGCTAGAGTGTGACAGTGCGTAGAGAGAGAGGGTTGCAATGTGTAAATGAGCCTAAGGTCTTTTGCTATGGTGCTGAACATTTGTTATAGTTGGTTAAGAAATATTCCAAAATGTGTGACTTGGAGTTGGAGGGGTTAAAAAATATTCCAAAATATATCACGTGGAGGTAATAATTCGTCAAGCGTGTGAATTATGAGTTGTGCAAAGGGCAATGATCCAGTACAGAACATGATATGGGGCATATAAATTATATCCCGATTACATGTATATTGTAATTACCACCTCACTATTGTACAAAATTTTATTTTGTGAAACTAATATTTATTTTTATTTTTATTTTGTGGACTGGTGAATGGGTTGTTGTTTGGAATTGTATAGTGTGCAAGTGATTGTTGTGTTGTACTGTTAAGACAGATTTCATTCAAGGTTGCTGAAGAAAAGAAGTGAATCAAAGACCAAATTAAGGAAGAAAAGATAATGAAGGGGAAGAATGCTTACCTGGCAGTGAATATATGACACGGGGGTCTCTTTTCCTTCACGTTTCAGATCCACCTTTCTTTCTCTCTTGTTGCTCTCTACTCGTCAGTGTGTTCTGTTCTCGAGCCTTTTTCTTTGTATCTGGATCATATATTAAATTCTGTCGTGCTGCCTAGCAGAATGTAATCCGTTGACACAAGTTGAGCTTAAAATAATTGGGATATGATTTCTGCTTCAGAAGCATAAAAACTTGCCTGCCACGTAGAGATAAAAAGAGTGGCTCTCATCCCCATTTTCCTCTCATTTGTTTATGCTTTCTCTCCCTATCAATTTGTCTCTCCCACATAGAAATAAAAAGAGTGGCTCCCAGCCATATTTTTCTCTTTTATTTTTTTTTTTGTATAAGTATGAAAATTAATATTTTTCTCTTTTATTCCTCTACGTTTTCTCTCTCTATCATTTTGTCTAGCCTGCAGAGACAATTTTTTTTGGCTTTTGAAGCAGGAATCATGTTCCCTAAAATAATATATGATTTTGTTGGTATTATCCTATTGTGTTCAGCACTTAAAAGCAAGGGCTTCTCAGCTGGGCCTCTTAATATTCTTGATATAAGAGTGTTCGAAAAAGTAGATTTAGTAGTAATTAAAAAATGTAGGCATATCTTAGACCTAATATATAATATTTGTTTAATTATTGCTTGTTTTTTTTTTTTTAATTTTTATTTGACTTATAAGAGTGTTCGAAAAAGTAGATTTAGTAGTAATTAAAAAATGTAGGCATATCTTATCCCTAATATATAATATTTGTTTAATTATTGCTTTTTTTTTTAACTTTTATTTGACTTCACATTTATGACAGGAACACAAATTAAATATATAAAATTTTAAAAGTAAACATAGTGTATCGAATGATTGGATTACATGTATATTTATACAGAAAGGTAAAAAGTAATTATATGTAAATTAACTTTATTTTTTGCTAATGATATGTAAACTAACTTTAGTTTGTTTATCTTTTTATTCTAAGTTTTTTTTACTATTATTTAACAAAAAGCAGAATTGTGCGTAGGTCATATATTGCTATTTAATATTTAAAAATTACTATTATTTAAATTTAAAATATATGGAATTTTAGTTTAAAATTGATTCAAAATTTCTTGACTTGAATTAATGTAAGTGAAATCATATTATATAAACTCTACTAGAAAATTATAGTGTAGAGATGAATAATGCTTTGTTTCTATATATCAAGTTATATTTCGGTGGCCCATGAATTTAGAGACGAAATTGGTAACAAATTTACTATAGTATGTAAAAGTGGTCAAATATCTACAACAAAAGATTTGTATCAACATCTAGTATTTTTTTAATAATTTCACGTTGTTTATCTCATAAATACCGATAATCAAATAATCTTACTCTCAAAATATCGAGTTATTAGCTGTCAATAGATCGAGCCTCACCCGTTGATAAATCAAAAAATGAAAATTATTTGATTACCTATTTAAAATAAACTCAGGATTAAGAGCAATCACATAACTATAGTTAACTGGAGATTTAATACCTTATGACAGAAAAAATAATCATAATCAAATTTCTCCTTGATCCTTTCAATGTGAATGTTAATTCACACCAATATTTTATAATGATTCAGACAAAATTATTTCATAAAATATTATAGCCTAAATAAAGCATCCAACTTTATTTAACAACCGCGAACCAATTCATTAATTGTGAGAACCTGTGATCATGTCCTCTATGAACTTATCCAAATGATCATATACTCCACAATTGATCCGGACCTTAATGTTTGTAAATTGTGTGCGCTGAACAATGAATAAAACCTCATTTGTAAAACTCATAAAAAATGATTACATTGTTTTACTCCACGATCACAAAGAACACGATATCTCTCACTCGTATAATGCAAGTATGTGATCCTCCTAAGACCCGAAGAAGTAACATGCCTCTCGAACACAAGTTCAGGCAAACTCTTAGTAACTAGGTCTGCAAGATCCACCTCTAATGCTATCTTAGTTTAGTGAAAAAAGTCATAGCTCGACATCAATTTTCTTGAGTCAATATTTACTTGAAAAACTAAATATATGAAAATTCAACTTTTCAAGACTCCCACCAGAATATACTAGCATATATTCTCTCGTTCTCCGATGATACTTGAGTACATGCTTAACAATAATCTAGTGTTCCTCTAGTTCTAGAATAGTACTGTCTTACTACTTCCACTATGTGGCAGATGTTTGGTTTAATACCCAACATAATATGCATGAGATTACCTGTTGCAAAAGCATAAGGTATCCTACTCATGCATTCTTCCTTCTCAGGAGTCTTTAGAGGTTACTCCTTAGGATATAGTCTAAGGTGATGCCAACAACATATTCTTCTGGTTTCATAAAATTTTTCTACCAAGAATATAATTGGTTTTTCCAATACTATCATACCAAAGTGCTAACTTAGCCAACTCTTTATGCTTGATATTACCTCCATGTTGTTTCCAATAAGGAGCATATCATCTACATAAAATACCAGAAGCTACTGCCTCCTTTTGGATCCTTTACATACAAATACACATCATTCATCAAGATTTTCTCAAAATCAAAATTTTGATAACCTGATCAAAGCTGATGTTCCAAGACCTGGATGCTTGGTTAAGTCCATGAAATAGACTTTCACAACTTGTATACCGTGTGTTCTTGCCTATTTGATATAAACCCTTTTGGTTGTTGCATGTAGATATCCTGACATCCAACTTCCAAAATAAAATCTCATAATTGAAACTTGTAGTAGCAGCTAAAAGAATTTGGATAGACTCGAGCATGGCGTCTGGCAAAAGTTGCCTCCAAGCTAGCTTTGAAGGTTTTCACCTTCCTGTCTATCCTCTCTTTACCTTGTAGGTCCATGTACACCTTGTGGGTCTTATTCCTCTTGGTGCCTTTACTAGAGACCAAACAGAGTTGAAATACAAGATATTCTAGCTCATGATTCATAGCTTTGAGCAACACTTGATCAAAAATATCTTCTAGTGCATTATCATAACTAGTGAGTTAACCATCTTTTTCAATGGTGATAGCTTGATATGATTCACCCGATAATAGATATCTTGCGGGTTTACGAATCAATCTCCCACCACAACTTTACCGGACTTGTTGTTGTGCATCTACAGGAGGATCCAAGTTTGGTGGATCAACAATTTCTTAAGGACCCCATTAGATGGGTTGACCATGCAATTCTTGATTTCGTTCTTTCACAAGTGTTACTTGCATTTCTATAGGTTCCACTTGTTCTTCTACATATAGTACTTGTATTTCTACAGGTTCCACTTGTAGATCATCATGTTGAACTTCTGGTTCAGAATTTGGTTCCTGTGTATGCCTTCAGGTATATGTTTCCCTCTTTGAACAACCACAAACAAAAGTTAGAACTACCTGAGGTTATAAGGTAAAACTTGATCTAAGACAAGCTCATCAAGAATAACCTTACTCTTTGACTTGTAATTTGCCATGTAGTCCTACTATAAGAAAGTCACGTGAGTACTCATTAGGACCTTCTTATCTTTTGGACTATAAAACATCCAACCTCCAGTTCATTTAGGATAGCCTATAAACATGCACATTTATATACGAGAGTCCATCTTATTTGGCTTCTGTTGTAAGACATGTGCTGGAGCACCCCAAATCCGAATATGGTTTGATTTGGGCTTGTACCCTTTTCATAATTTTGTGGGTGTCTTTGAAACAGATTTGGATGGAACTAAGTTCAATAAGTACATGGAAGTTTGTAATGCATATCCCCAGAATGAATCAGACAGAGACGAATAATTGAGCATGGACCTTACCATTCTAAAAGGGTTTGATTCCTCCTTTCAACAACTTCATTCTGTTGGGATGTCCCTGGAGAAGATAGTTGTGAAACTATCACCTCCTTAGTCAGGTAGGACCTGAACTCTCCAGATAGGTATTCACTTCCTCAGTCAGACCAAAGAGTCTTGATTTTAACACCAAGATGTTTTTCTGCCTCAGCCTTAAAATTTTGAAATTTTCCAAAAGCTTAAGAATTATGACACATCAGGTACACGTATCCAAATCGTGAGTAATCATCTGTAAATGTGATGAAATACTCATACTCACCTCTAGCTTGGACATTTATTGGTCCACATACATCAGTATATATCAATTTCAGCTGAAGTGGCATGATTCTCTTTGGCTTTGAAATATCGCTTAGTCATTTTACCGTCTAAATAAGATTCATATACCGGTATCAG